GAGAGGCAATAAACATTAAGATAGTATTGTGATATTGAGGTGGAGTGTGATGAGAATTCAAATTTCATGCTAATTACTTTATCTCTCATTTTCTCTTCATGCTTGTTTAAGTGATCAGGTAGTATTAAAATTTGCAGGTGAAAATCTGGTCATTTCCGGTAGTAGAACCACATACAAATCATAGACACTTCAGGGATGGAGAGATGGCTCAGCTGTTGAGAGCACTGACTACTCTTGCAGAGGACCCTGGTTCAATTCTCAGTACCCACATGGCAGCTAACAACCGTGTGTAACTCTAGTTCCAAGGGATCTGATGCTCTCTTCTGATCTCCATGGGCATTACATGACACAGGTGCACTTATACACAGGCAGGGAATACACTCATACAGATAAAATAAAAAATAAATATTTGGAAATTTTAAAAAAGAATATGCACGTCGTCTGTGTTTTGCTTCAGTAAAAGTAAACCCATTTTCTTTGACTTCCAAACACTTTTACTTGAGATTGAACTCACTCACGTGAGGTAAACTTTTTATAACTGAGGCCAAGCCTCAGCCCTGCCTCCCAAGCTTTGACTTGAAGATTATTCCCATTGCTTGTTCTGCCACGACCTCTCTTCATATACACACAAAGTAGGGCCCATCAACCTCAAGAGAACCTTCCACTGTGCTTCAACACAGTGTAGACACTGTATAGTCTTATGACATACCATACCTTGGATACCACTTAAAAGCTGCAAGAAAATTGTTTCACATGTATCAGACTTTGGATGCCACTTAAAAGCCCAAAGAAAATTGTTTCACAAGATGCTCTTCCATAGATCTTAATTTTGAATGAAGCATTTGTGTCCTAGTTAGCATCAACTCTCAATTTGACTCATACTATACTCACCTGAAAAGAGAATCCCAATTGAGCAATTGATTGTCTTTATTGTTGGTTTGTAGGTATGTCTATGAGGGATTGTCTTATTGTTAACTGATTCAGGAGGGCCCAGCCCACTGTGGGTGGCACCATTCCCTATGCAGGTGATCCCTGGCTGTATAAGAAAGCTAGCTAAGCCTGAGCTTTCGAGTGAGCCAGCAAGCAGTGTTGCTCCATGAACTTCAAGTTCTTGCTTAAGTTCCTTCCCTGACTTCCCTCAGTGGTGGACTGTGATCTGTAAACTGAAAGTAACCCTTTCCTCCCCAAGTTACTTTTGCTCTGTTTTTTGATAAAATGTTTTAACACACAACAGAAATGTAAACTGGAACAACTGGCATCAGCCATCTTCATGGGGAAATTTCCAAGATGCTCTATGCTGCTTTGTGACTTCTGTGGCCTTCTCTGATCCATCTCTGTCCAGGGACTTCTCTTTTTTCCCACTCCTAACTGCTGAAATCATTGACATTAATCCTATGGACTTGTTCCAAAGCATTTTTCTCTTATCTGTCATAACTCCCAAAGACAGCACTAACTTATAAAGCTCATCCTGGAAGCAGCAAAAGTAGAAAATAGTACAAAGCCCTGGTTCTGAAGGTCTAAAATAAAAGGATTTGTAACTAACTGCCAATATCTCCTAGTACTTAGACAAAGTGGCACAATGATGAAGGTAGGAATCATTTTGTGTTCATAGCATTGAGTTTGGAATTTGGGGTAAATGAGTTGTAAATGACAGGTTCGGGAGTCAGATACAAGTTGGAGTTTCAACTATGGTCCATTTGACCAGTGCGAACATGTATTAATGAAGTACTCCCCTTTTAGGAATATGTTAATTTAATTTTACTGTGTGGGCACATTAAGTGCACATGCATGTGGGTGCATGCACAGGAGTGTTTAAGTGCATGCGCTTGGTCATGTACCTGTGCATGCACATGAAGAGGCCAGAAGTAGACATTGGGTGTCTTCCTCTATCACTCTCCACCTGACAGCTTTGACAGAAGGTTTCTTACTGAACCAGAAACTCGCCCTTTTGGCTAAGCTGACTAGCCAGTAAGCTTCCAGGAGCCACTTGTCTTTACCTCCTAATTCTGGAATTACTGACACACATGCCTGGCTTTTTGTGTGGGTGATGGGTATTCAAACTTAGATCCTCATGCCTGCACAGCAAGTGCTCGTACCCACTGAGCCATCTCCCCAGCCCCAGGAATTTATTTATCTGGAAGATGAGATCAGCAGTAACACTTGCTGCCAAGGCTGTTCTCAATGCCAAGCAGAACAAACGTAAGGCTGTAGAACAGCGCATGACACAGTAAAGTTTAAACATGGGGTAGAATTCACTTTCATTCTTAAACACATTAATAAAAATGTATATGCAGATGGTACCATTTGGTTTATACTTTAGGCATTTCATATTGGGATTTAGTTCCTTTAAAAATCACAAGATTGAATTGAGAATGATCTCGAGTCCAATTCTAGCGCACTAATTACCCCTTGAATAGGACTGAGAGATTGACGTCACATCATACTGTGCACTGTCTAGACTCCCTGTGAAGGACTGGAACAGAGTCCCAAATTGTTAGAGGGATGCTGTTAGAAGGACAATGGAGAACTGAAGAAATAGGGAAAGACACCCTTTTGTCTAAGGTCCTTTTTCTGAAGACATGAAGTGTTCGGCTTGAGGGGCGTGCCTGAAGTAGAGTGAGCTGGCCGTAGGCGGTATTGTGAATTCACATTTGGGTAGCAATTAAACGGTGCAAGGAAATACTATTTCTGGCTCAAAAATTGGATCGACCCATTTTTCAGTGGAAAAATTATTGAATGAGCTCAATTTGCTTTATTATATTTATTTCTAATATCTTTAAAATCCTGTTTAACTCTATGAAATGGGAATTATAGGACAGCTGAAAAAGCTTTAGGCTAAGCTAGAATTGGAAGACCCTTGCTCCGTGGGGGTCTAGGCAGAAGAACATAAAGGGCAAGACTTTCCATCTTCATCTAAACACTGCTCATGTTTTGAATCTTCCCTCAGATTTTAGAATAAAAGGCAACCGTTCTCTAACTAAGAAGGCAGAGGGGAAAACAGGGAATTTTGACTCACATCTAAAAATACTTACTGTTCAAAAATGAAACACATCTACATCTTCATGATGATGAGACTGCTTTAGCAATCTTGGACTGTCCCAGCTGTGAACTCTGAATTGTGATAACAACTAGCAGACAGAAGATGCACTGGGGGCAGGGAGGTCACTAATGGGGACACATAATCCAGGTGGAACCACAATGCATCTGGTCATCTCCACTGACTGTTCGACATCTCATGTTTCTACCAGGTCTAAGGACCAGGAAAAACCTACAGCTCTGTGAGGGAGGCTTCCTTATCCTCAGAGTCACCTTCCAGATTAGAAGATCAGTGAATCTTAGCTATTCCTTGTTCCTCATCACACCCAGCTTATTGTGTAATTTTGTATGTTCTTCTCTGTGGATCCTGGTTGACAGCAATTTTACATGGTTTTTTTGTTTGTTTTGTTTTGCCTTTTCAGCTTTCAACTTGGGGATTTTTCAACCTGTAACATGAAAATGCTGCCGATTTTGTTCCTCATAATAATTTGTTCCCATGTTTGTATGAATCAAGATTCTGGTAAGAAAAAAAAGTAAAGATTTCCTTTCCATAATTTTCATTATCCTCAATAGGTAGTAAATGAGCTTGATGTACTTAACAGTTAAGAACTTTGTTTCACTTTGATTTTGATTGGTAGTGAGGGTGTGAGGACAAGGTTTTTGAGGTTACCCCGTGCATGTCCTTTTGAAAATCCTGGGCTTTATTCGTGGCTACTGAATAAAATATATTAAAATTTTCTTTCTGTCCTAAGATTCAACCCATTTTACATCTCCTTGGAGGTTACATGGAAATTCTGTTCCTGTTAGGTTCAGGCTTGGAAAATTTGGAATATTTCTTTTTAATTGATTTCTGCCAAAAAGGTTGCTGTAGCTAAATGTCTAGCTTTTGTTTCAGCTTGAGTTGTTTATCTGCTTAGTGTAAAGACTTGCTTGTGTTTACCTTGGCAAGAAAGTTCTTAGCTATCTGCTGTCAGCATTATGGACAGCAACTCATGTCCAGTGAAATTAAGGTCAAAACTCCCTCACTACCTCCTCTACCACCGCTTAAGTAATTGGTGCATGAGCTGCTCAGTTCCTGTTCATGACTACCTATATTAGCTTTTAGAGCTTTCTCCAGAACTCTGACCTCAGAATCAAGATTTGAGAAGACAAATTGGACGTTATCCTAAAAACATCATCGTTTGATGTCTCCTTGACCTTAAGCTTTGTCAGGAGAGGCAATTTTCCCCAATCATGGATAGATATCATAAAAAGCCTGAATCATCCTCACTGCTAGGCTATCACACCTCCTTTCCTACACATGCTTGTTTGTGAAGAGAGAGGTCACCACTGGCCACACTTCAAGCCATTCTGAGCAGGGCTCCCTTGGAAGAAAGTGCTGACTGGCCCTGGTCTACCACCCTTTCTTCCCCTGGATGCTGCTGGCTTGTGTGATCATGGCAGGAATTGATTGGTGGAAATACAGTCATTTGAAGTACGAGAAAGGACTGTTCTATCCATTGCACTTTGATCAGAATCTCTACAGAGAATGGAATGACAGAAACCACGGCTAGTTTCTCAGCAAATGCAGAAAAAAATAGAAGTTATTTTGATTAGATAGGGATTTATCTAGTAACCGTTTGTGATAGAATCTTAAAGTGAGGAGGTTCTTCGATACATTCTCTTTGAATTTACTTATTTTAAAGTAGAGGATACTGAGACTCAACTATATGGAATAGCTTGACAAGCTTGTAGGCTTCACATTATTTATTAAACTATACTGCATTGCATTTTCTCACACACACACACACACACACACACACACACACACACACACACTTCCCTATCTTCCCTGGACAAGAAATGGGAATTAATTTAAGGTTGCAAAAATTTTGAGACCAGACAAATAGGCCACCAGGCAATAACTTTGAATCCCATGATTCTCTGTCACCTAAAAATGTAATTCTAGAGCCAAACATGGTTATGGGTATATGCCTGAAATCCCAGAACTTCATAAGTGGTGGTAGGAGTTTCAAATCAGGTGTTCAAAGCCATCCTGGGCTGTATGAGACCATGTCTCAAAAAATATATTTTATATATATCACATATTAACATATATCTATTATATTAATAAATTTTTATATATGAAATCCTAAGGTCCTAGACAGCAAGAAAATGAATTATTAAAGATTCACTATGTTTTTTGTATTCCAATAGGAAATATATTTTTAATAGAAACTA